TTTTTGTTTAGACTAAAAATGTTTACATTTAGAGTCGTTCTTCTAAAATGATAACTCAATTGAATCCTATGTATAAGCTTTTTGTGTTTATTTAATTGAGGCCCTATTTTAACTGTACTTTGCTTCAATATTAATATCAAAAATGTCAAATATTTTGATTTTTATAGAATAATTTAATAAATACTCATTTGATTTTAATTATCTCTTCGGATTATTGAATCGGATTATATACCCGACAATTTTGGGGAGTCCACATCAAAATTGGATAATCCGTTCAAAAGTTAGAGGGGGATTCAAATTGTTCAGTTAGAAAAAGTAAGTATAGTATATAATTAGTGGCCTTTTATCTAGATATCGTTTGACATACAGATAGTATATTAGTGTAACAATCAGGTTAATAAAAACATTATGATACTCTAATATATCTAGATAAAAATAGTTTACAAATTAACGATTTTATTAGGTTTACTGTATTTATTAACAATAGTAACATGTTATTTGTTTGTTATAGAATTTTTTGAAGGTATTGCAGGGTAATGCTGAATTAGCTGCCGCTGGTAAAAAAGTGGCCAATGTGAACCAAATGATAACGTGTTGTCTATTTTGGCGATCATGGTTCAACAGGTAAACCTAGATTAGTTAAATAAGTGTATTAACATGTTGTTAATGTGCTAACTATTATCAATCACAAATAGATCTGATTGCTTTCCCCTCATTATACTTATACGCTAAGGGCTTAAACGCAGTTTTGGTCAAATTGAACGAGGAGAAAATGTTTTCACAGCTCACAAATTACTTGGACACTTGTGATTCGGGTACTTTTTATACTCTTTTAATGTTTTTAATTACCTAAAAAATTAAACTAACTTTTTTACAAATATTGTCTTAACTAGGTTTAATGTTCCAAAACCATTTGCCCGCCAATGTTAATGTATACGCGTTCACATCATCCGATTACGACGAGCTTAGTTGGTTTTATATTTACATTACTTATAAACTTATATAATTAATGCAAATACAAGAAAAATTGTAATTTTACTAATTACAAATATTAATTTGACCAGGCTCATTCTTTGCCGACAACTGGCTGGATAATGAGGTGGAGTCAGACATTAACACCGAGACATTGCAACAACAATACCAGTACCTCAAAGACCACCACACCGTCCAAAACCCGCACTCAAACACCACACATGAGATACACGACCAACAGTACGGAGATCTGAATGTGGCCAAGACCAAGGTGGCCGAGTTTTTGGGTATGTAGCATTGATTTTGTATTATTTAAGCTTGTGATAATTTGCCCGGGTTAGGTTCGGGTTTTGGATTTCTCTCACTACTATCTAATATACATATAATATCTACTATCTAATATGTATATTCGGTATAATTTTATATAAATTAATTTATTTTTAATAATAGATATGAGAATTAATTAAAAGTTTACTAGATGGACGGCAATATGTAGACCTAGTCATAATTGAATACGTAAATAGTATTCAACGTTTACTGACAGTCGATAGCAATCCTATACTAAACACTAAACAAGAGCTCAATAATAGACTGTGTTATCAAGAATTTGCCGACATTTATAGCAAAAATTGCTTTAATTTTAATCAGGTATTTATAAATTTAAAAATTAATTTTAATTATAATATTTATTTAAAAGAATTTAAATTGTCCATGAGTTATTGGCATAGTAGATAAAATTGGGCAAATGCAGGGATACAATAATAAAAGTTTCATAACAATTGCATTATAAGTTTTGAAAAATTGGATATACACAGAACCTACATAATTGATGTTAATTTATGTGAATTATTTGTGAATATATTGGGCCCATTGAATATTGTGCTATTGAAATAACATGAGACTATTTTAATGTAGCACTAACTGAATTATTTCTCAAAACAATTACAAGTAATATTAGAATACTGATAATTTAAAAATAAAGCAATAGCACTACAGTAATGCAGTTATATAGTACATAAAACTATTAAAATTACTACAGGTTAGAATTATGTATATTATATTAATCATTTATTGAATTTAGTTTACAAGAGAGAGAGAGAGAGAGAGAGAGAGAGAGAGAGANGAGAGAGAGAGAGAGAGAGAGAGAGAGAGAAAGAGAGAGAGAGAGAGAGAGAGAGAGAGATTAATGTTAATGAAATTAATAACTAAAATAATATTCTAGTTAATTAAATTAATATTTATTTGTTAACTTATTATTAAGCTTGTTAAAAACATAATTACAGATATTTAACATTACTACCAATGCAATAACAAACACATTTACTATTTTTACAAGTACAGTATACTAGTAGTATGCGCCGAAATTCATCTCACAATCTTCATCATTGCATTCTTGTGTTTGTGGTGAGCGTTTGGCCCTGTAGTCCACCATATTGTTCATGTTGTTATTCATTGCTCCTGGTGAAGCAACCACTTCATCCATCGTGGTTGACATGATCAATATGGACACCAATAATAATAGTATGATCATGTTCATGTTTCCTTAAGAAATGATTGACATTTAAATGCCGATTTGTTGAAGTGCAAAAGTTGATGTAAATTACCAACCTGTACCCCAGTCTAGGTGTACATCAGTCTATTTAATTAATTTTTTATTATTTAATTTTAATGTTTAAATAATAATTGTTTTTTAAATTTTTATTTAATTAATTAACGACATTTAATATAATTCAAAAACGCCACATTTTTTAAGTGTTAAAAATATGCATTAAACTTATTAATTTAATACTTAAGTATAATTAATTTTTAATTCTTTTTACAAAATTTATACTTTTTCTCTAAATTATGGGTATTTGTAAATACAGTAAAACAATTTTATGTTATGAAACATCTATGTAATTGACCAAATGTCCTGGAACCGTTTTGTTGGTAACACAGAAACTTTACCAGGTATGCCAGGCAGTAAGTACATTGTTATATTTATTTTATTTAGAAAGATAACAAAATATTGGTGTGGTATTATGCTAAACACAGTTAAATTAAACAAAATAATAATTTTAATAATAATTACTATTTATTAAAAAAGTTAATTTTGAAAACATTAAAAGTATACAAAGATTTTTCATTATTTAAATAATAAACACAACATCTCATATACACTAACAATAAATTAAATACCAATAAATACGGTATAAATAAATATAAATTACATTTTTAACCATCGATTTCATTAACAGACAGAAATCCGTCGCCATTTTTGTCCATCAAATAAAACTCGTATTTCATATCCTTATCGGCGGCCAAACCCTCGGTCTGAGCAAAGCTAAGGACCTCCACATAACTGGCCCTTTCGTCCCGGTCTGTGTCCAAACGGGTCAACACATGAGTGGCATTATTTATAACCATATCATTAGCAGTGGACATGCCATTAGTTTTGCACCCTGATGCAATATTCCAGCACCATAAACTTGAGTCACCAGTCCGGCAGCCACCATCACAATTACAACCAAAGACGTTACATTTGCCCACGCCACAATACGTATTGGCCTTGCTGCAATCTCGACAGGTACGACCCTGGTCAGGGCACTTGAGTGGAGCGGTACAACAATCTGCGGCTGACGGTTCAAAATTGACCGCAACTACTATGACGGCCAATAAGGTAGCGATTGTTAACTTTGAATTCATTACGATTGAAATTGTTTTGTTGCTTATGTTATAACAATTAAATGTATTATAATTTAACTTATTATAATTTTTGTCTAACGACCTAACTATTTATACGTCAAAATTGTCAAGATAAATCTGTTTATTGTTTACAAAAATCATTTGCAATGATAAACCAATTGTACTTGGTCAACTTTGTATTATTGCAAAATGAATGTGTAATTAAATAATGTTAAGTATTACATTTTATAGTTTTAAGTACTCAATTTGCCCATGCTTATTTAGATTAAATTATAATGTAGCAATAAAATTATCAATACGAATAATATTTATAAAAATTATTATGATATTGTACATTAAATATTGTATTGTACACATGGTGATATAATTCGTCATATAATATAACTCATATTATTTTTACAAATAAGATTAAGTTAATCTCATAATATTTGTTCCCTATTGATAATTAGACAATTAATTGCACAATGGTTGTTAAATAGTCAGCAAGAACAAACTACTGTATGTACTTAATAAATATAATATGAAAAATATCTTATGTTATTTAGTTGCAATTTTATTTTGAAATTATAAACTTGACCAAGTGCAAAATCTTATCATTAAAAATGTTGCTTGCAATTTTGGAAACACATTGTTTATTGTATTACAAATAGATTTAATACAAATAATTTTAGTATAAATAGTTATTTATTTACAACACAAAGTTATATTAAATTTTTATAACACAGTTATAACAAAGTAAGTATTTCTCAAATAAAATTTATAAGTCATATTTAATTAACCTAAAAAATTAATCAATATTAATTATTTAAATTTAATCTAGGTATAATAAAATTACAGCAATGAATTCACAATTAACAATCGCCGTCTTATTGGCCATCGTGGTAGTTATGGGTAATTTTGGGCAGTCAACGGCTGACTGTTGTTTCGCCCAACTTAACTGCCCTGACCAGGGTCGTACATGCAAAGATTGCACCAAGGCCGACATTTATTGCGGCGTGGGCAAATGCAACGTAGTGGGCTGCAATTGCGATGGTGGGTGCCGGTCAGGTAATCCGAGCCTGTGGTGTTGGAATATAGCTTCCCATTGCAAAACTATTATGGCCACAACCAATGATCTGGCTATAAATAATGCCACTCATGTGTTGACCCGTTTGGACACAGACCGGGACGGGAGGGCCAGTTATGTAGAGGTCCTTAGCTTTGCTCAGACCGAGGGTTTGGCCGCCGATAAGGATATGAAGTATGAATTTTATTTGATGGATAAAAATGGCGACGGATTTCTGTCCGTTAATGAAATCGATGGTTAAAATGTAATTCTTGTTGAATTTAATTTTTATTTATATTTATTGGTAATTAATTTATTGTTAATTTAAGTTATATGGGATGTTGAGTTTATTATTTAATAAATAAATAAATCATTTTATGCATTTAATATTTGCAAAATTACCTTTTTTTAAATTTTTTATAAAAACAATTTATTTTATAAATTTAATTAAACATAAGTTATTATTACGCATAACTCGTTACTTCTCTCATTATGACCATATGAATTTGAATAACTAATTATTAACTAAAATTATTGAAAATAAAATAAATAAATTTTTATACAATATATCTATTATACATATTTATTAATACAATGTACATGAAATTAATATTTATTTGTTAACGTATTATTAAAATAGTTAAAATAAACAACAACATGATCATGATATATCTTCGTCTTTAATATTGAGCGTCGTGCATTTCTCATCAAAACATCCCTCGTTATCTTCGCAATCATTTTTATCTTGACATTCAGTGGTTTCTGCTGAGCGTTTGGCCCTGTAGTCCACCATAATGTTCATATTGGTATTTAATGTTGTTTGTCTAGCAGCCACAGCATCCATCGTGGTTGATAGTATCAATACTGGTACTAATAATAATAGAATAAACTTGTTCATGTTTTCATTAAAAAAAAATTTATGAGCTTTAAATGTTTATCTGTTATAAAGTTTACAAACTTACTTGAATTAAAGTATCAAAGTTAATGTTAATTTAATTAATTTTAATTTTATCATTACCTTATGGTTTTTTCTGATATTTTAATAATTATTTATTTTATTTAGAAAAATATCAAAATGATGGTGGTATTATGCTAAACACATGTGTAACAAAATTAAAAATAATAATTTTTATAATAAATTATACTATTTATACAATTGTGACGGTGGGTGCAGGTCAGGCAATCACAATCTGTGGTGTTGGAATATTGCTTCCCATTGCAAAACTATTATGGCCACAACCAATGACCTGGTAATCAATAATGCCACGCATGTGTTCGCCCGTTTGGACACAGACCGGGACGGGAGGGCCAGTTATGTGGAGGTCCTTAGCTTTGCTCAGACCGAGGGTTTGACCACTGATTAGGATATGAAATACAAGTTTTATTTGATGGACACAAATGGCGACGGATTTTTGTCGGTCTACGAAATTGATAGTTAAAAATGTAATTCTCGTTTAATTTAGTTTTTATTTTTATTTATTGGTAATTAATTTATTGCTGATTTATAATCTATAATTATTTTATTTTAAAATGAATGTAAAGGAATTAGTTATCTAGATAATAAACAATTAACCTTTAAATTTTAGTACAAACATAGCAGAAGTACTAATATTATTATTTATCAAAATAACTGTGATACATGTTATATAATATAGTTGGAACTTGAAAAAACTTTTAGAGTCTAAAATTTAGACTGTACTAATTGTTATCTATACAATGACTTATGCTTATGACTGATTAATTTTTAAAATAGTATATAACAACAGAAAATTTTATTAATATTTATTTTATAGAATAAATAACAATATTATTTTTATTAATAATAAAATAACAAAAATATAATGAAAATTTTAATATATTTGTCAGTCCTGTATATCGCTGTTTCTAATGGACTGCCATTTGCCGATCAATTGGCCGCCAATAGTGTGGACAATAGCCATAAATGGGTCGTATTGTGCGCCGGGAGTAACGGGTGGATCAATTATGCAGACCAGGTATAGTGGAGTTTACAATTGAATTAAACAGATACTTTATTAAAATTAATTTTTATCAATGTAAATTAGGCATTAGTATACAGGGCTTACCATCAGTTCCGCTCGTATGGCATACCGGAGAGCAATATAATTGTCATGCATTACGACGATATCGCACACAATAGTAAAAACCCTAACCCAGGGGTTGTGGTTACCGAGAAAGGTGGTGAAAATTGGTACCATGATATTCCCAAAGATTATGTCGGCACCGATGTTAATCCCACCGTAATTATTATTATTTTATTGTGACTTAACAAAATAAATATTAATAATTTTTGTTATTAAATCTAGAACTTTTTAAAAGTAATTAGCGGTGACCAAGAATTGCATGCAAATGGTAGGAAAGTGGTGAATAGTGGGCCAACCGATCATGTGTTTCTGTATTTTGGCGATCATGGTGGACCGGGTAATAATCTTAAAAAATATTTCAGGGGCAACTATTTATTATTCATCATGACTTTTTATAAACAGGATTAATTGGATTTAATAATGGCAGTGTTTTATATGCTGATGATTTAATGAACAGAATAATAAACATGCACAAACAGAAGAAATATGCCAAGCTCGGTTTCTACATTGATACATGCGAGTCTGGTAAGTTTTGTAAATCAACATTAAATTAAATTATGTTTAATAATTAATAATATATTTTTTTAAAATAATTTGTTTGCCAGGCTCAATGTTTAACAAAGTGTTACCAAGCAACATTAACGCTTACGCGGTCAGTTCATCTCTACCCAATGAAGATAGTCATTTTATGAATTATGATGATGAATTGAATATATTTTATAGTATAGACAACTTATTTATTAAATATAAAAAATAATGCTAATTATATTTATCATCAGGCTCATATTTTGCCGACTATTGGCTAACTAATGATGAGATAACAGATATTGAAAAGGAAACACTTGATCAACAATATGAGTATATTGTAGAAAAGACAAAGAGTGTTCAACACGCACAACATTATGGTGATCTAAGCATGGGCAAATTGCACGTTGCTGAATTTTTAAATCATAAACCAAAAGGTGTTTTGAATACTCGAGTTAATACCCATGTGCAAAATAATGAAACAGTCAGCAAATGGGATGTCGCTCTATTTTTAGTACAAAAGCGAATTAACAAATCTGTGGCTAATAGTGAAAAATTAAGGTAGAATTAATCATTTAACAATAATATTTGCATATTAATTAAATTTTGCTTTTAACAGATATGTGGAGGACTTGAAAAATCTATTGAATGGCAGACAATATGTTGATAAACACATCAATGATTACGTGAATAGTATTCAACACTTACTGACAGTCGATAGCAATGCTATTCTAAACACTAAACAAGAGCTCAATAATAGACAGTGTTATCGAAAATTTGTTGACACTTTCAACAAAAATTGTTTTGATTTAACACAAGTATTTCACACATTTGTTTGCCTGTTATAATTTTATTTTATTTTGTAAAATTAATTAATTTATTTTGTTTACAAATTACAGGACACTTATGTTTTACGCAAATTACAAACATTTGTGAATATTTGTGAAACAATGCGTGAATTGAGTGATGCGGACATCGCTGTCAACCAATTGATACAACACTGCAGTCAATACACTGACAATCAATTTAGGTATATTTTATAAGTTATGTAACATCTAATTTAACTTAAATTATCAAAAATTAAGTTTTCATTAAGTAATTTAATTATTAATTTAAAAAAATTATTTTAAAATTAATTTGTTGATAAATATTAATAAATAAAATTAAACAAAACAAGGTTCACACAGCGATGCTATACGTTAACCACAATTCGAGAAATGCATCAAAGATTTTAAATTTTTCAATACTATTGTTAGAATATTTTCACTATTATTATTTTGAGAATTTTAAATGTTTTTGATAACAATTAGTTCTATTTATTATGTGAGATTCATTTAGTATATCTCCATAGAAGAAGCATTATCTTATTGAAACAACATTACTCTCATAGACTTAGCATTATTCAAGTTATCCCTATGCCATAGACTTAGCATTGCCCATGTTATTCCTATGCCATAGACTTAGCATTGTCCATAGGATTAGCATTGCCATAAACTTAACATTGCCCATGTTAAACCTATGTCATAGACTTAAGCTGTGATTCCATAGAAACCCATGTTAAAGCAATCTCCCATAGACTTAACATTAGTCCCATTGGATTAACATGGAGAAAAACTATCCTTTCCCTTTATATTTCGCTTTCCCATAGGAAATAGTCTCCCATAGGATTAACATTACCCATAGTATAACATTAGCCCATGTTAAGTCTATGGAAAAAGCTCCATAGAATTAGCATTACCCATGTTAAAGTATAGCCATAGACTTAAGCTGTAATCCC